TATCTCTATGTATTTCAGTTTTTCTCTGTGTCCTTTGATAGTGTTTTATCATTTTCTTTGTATTTACTAGTTGCTAAGTTTATTCCTAGATATTTTTTGTTTTTGTTGGTATTATAAATGAAATTGTTTTCATTATATTTCTTCTCTGGTTATTGACAGTATATAAGAAAACATTTGATTTTTGTATATTAATCTTGACCAACTTACTGAACTCTGATTGTTTCTGTTTTTCTGTTGATTCTCTTGGATTTTCTGGTTAGTCTTTTTGTGTCTTTGTTCCTAATACACCATTTTTTTAAGTTTCACTTCTGGCAGGGTATCTGACTGAATTGACTAGGACTTCTGGAATGGTAGTCTTATTCTTGGCAGTACCAGAGGACAAAACTAGGACAGGTGGGCAGACTAGCTAGAGCTATTTGAACATGGAAGAGGCACACTTGTATTTTATCAATACTACCGTACTAGTTACATTCACAGAACAACTAAATTGAAAGCAAGTTAACTTGTTAGGTAAAGAATACAACTAGATGACTTCTAAGTTTAAATTATTAGTTGAAAGTATAAAGAGAGAATCAAGGAATGGCTTTAAGAACTCTTGTATAGGGGCGCCTGGGTGGCTCAGTAAGTTAAGCGTCTGTCTTCTGCTTAAGTCATGATCCTGGAGTCCTGGATTGAGCCCAGCATCAGGCTTCCTGCTCAGTGGGGAGTCTGCTTCTCCCTGTGCCCCTCACCCTGCTTGTGCTCTCTCTCTCTCTCGCTTGCTCTCTCTCTCTCAAATAAATAAAATCTTAAAAAAAACCAAAACTCTTGTATAGAGGGTAGTGGGGAGCAAATGGTAGAAGAGCAGGAGTAGGAAGTCAAGAAGAAAGTAATGAAAGTAAGAAAGTAATGCCTCATTAAGAGAATAATCATGACTATGCAGTGTTATAGAAGTCAGGGGAGATAAAAGTTTTGTAAAGTATGAGATAGTCATCAATAAGTGATGCTATATAGAAGTATTTTAAAAAAAGTGAAACTGGGGCGCCTGGGTGGCTCAGTTGGTTAAGCGACTGCCTTCGGCTCAGGTCATGATCCTGGAGTCCCTGGATCGAGTCCCACATCGGGCTCCCTGCTCAGCAGGGAGTCTGCTTCTCCCTCTGACCCTCCTCCCTCTCATGCTCTCTGTCTCTCATTGTCTCTCTCGCAAATAAATAAAATCTTAAAAAAAAAAAAAAAGTGAAACTGGCTGGCTCAGTCAGTAGAGCATGTGACTCTTGATTTTCGGGATTGTGAGTTTGAGCCCTATGTTGGGTATAGAGATTACCTAAAGACAAAATCTTTTTTAAAAAATGGAACAACAGGAAGCCATTGTATTTTTTAATGAGGAGGTTATTTGTGATCTGCTTATGTGTCTCTTCATCTGCTTCTTCTTAATTATAGTTTTTAACTATTCAGTGGTTTCTTTAATTTGTATTTTCATTTAGATTATCAGCTTGGTGGGAACATTAATAAAACCTTACATCTGGTTCATAAGTCTCATGGGGCTTTGAACAGAATTCTTAGAGTAGTGGATGATCTATAAATATTTGCTTTTTTACTTTTAGGTAAATTCTAAAGGAATTACACCTTAATTCTAGGTTATGATTGTAATATAAGTTCTATGTTTTGAGCTTACCAGGCTAACTGTAATCATGTGCAGTTATAGATAAAACATAAACATAAAATCATTTATAGATAAAACAATAAAAATTTTTAAATGTAATCAGTCTAAAAGACAAAATAAACTTATTTGTGTAACAGAAATGCAAATTGATAACTAGTGATGAAAAACATGGGCCTACTGAACTCCAGGTATGAAGTAGCTAGAGGTGATTGGGCATCCAGTTTCTGAGGTGTATTAGGAAGTATAAGTGTCACATAGAAGTCAGAGGACCAGAACTAGGCTCACTGGTTAAAAGTAGGAATTGGAAATGAGGCTCCCCTGCTCCTGAAAGGAAGTTCGTGTAAAAGGTAATACCAACTGTTCCCTAAAGCTGTAGTTAATATAAAACTACTTATCTAGAGATGTGGGAGGACACCAGCACAGCCTTAAGACCAATATTTAAGCCAAACTGCAATGACTTAGTACCCGAATCTCCAGTAACCAATAACATCTGGAGTTCATAATCACCAATATAAAACCTGGTTTTTGATGAGGTCCCTGTGGGCACTGGTGAAGACCAAAAGTCATGACACAGGGTGAGATAAATGGAGGGAGGGAGGAAGGGAGAAAGGGAGAGGGAAAATTCTCACTCAAGATCTGCAAACTAAAATTCCAAAGCACAATTCAGAAAAGAAAAAAGCCAAACCTAGAAAGCATCCAACAAAATCAACAATCAGAAGATGGATTTGCTCCCACATGAAATGAAAGTAGTAAATTAATTTTTTAAAGACTTATTTAAAAATAAGTATGTTTAGGATTCTCCAAAAGATAAACAATAAAAACCATTTTAAAAGAATAAGAAATTATGATAAATTAGCAGAAATAAGAATAGACAAATATAAGAACTAATTAGACATTTTAGAATTGAAGTTATGGAAATTAAATCAGTAGATAGAAAGAACCCTAACATAGACATGGTTGAAGAGGGAATTGGTGAAGTAGAAAACTGTTCTAAAGAGTTCACCCAGAATACAGAATATAGAGAGACATACAATACTAAAAACTATATAATTATGTAGTTAAAAGACATAAAAAATAAGGATTGAGGAACTTCAGTATACATCTAATGGGAGTTGTAGAAAAAGAAGCCATAAGAATGACTAAGAAGCAGTAACCAAAAACCTAATGTCTGAGAATTTTCCAGAATTGAAAACTTGGGTCCTTAGATTAAAAGTACACTCTACATACTAAGCAGGAGAAATAAAAATCAATCACAATGAGAAACATTCAGTGCAACTATACAGTGAAAAGAATAAAGAAAAATTTATTTATTTTTATTTTTTATTTTTTTTAAAGATTTTATTTATTTATTTGAGACAGAGAGAATGAGAGAGAGAGAGCACATGAGAGGGGGGAGGGTCAGAGGCAGAAGCAGGCTCCCTGCCGAGCAGGGAGCCCGGTGCAGGACTCGATCCAGGGACTCCAGGATCATGACCTGAGCCGAAGGCAGTCTCTTAACCAACTGAGCCACCCAGGCGCCCCTAAAGAAAAATTTAAAAGCTACTGGAGAGAGGAAGTAAATCTCCAAAAGATTATCAATTAGACTTCAAAATAGAAACAATAGGAACTTAGAAGACAATAAACTAATGTTTATCATTCAAGATTGAGGGCAAAATATATTTTCAGGCAAAGACTAAAATAATTTATCTCTGACATACCTTATTTGTAAGAATTTTTAAAGGGCATCCTTTAGCAAGAAGAAAAGGGAACCCAAAGGTAAGCATAGGGTATACTTTTTGACAAAACTAAAGATAAAAATAATTATTTTTGCAAAGGTTATTTTGAATTTCTGGAAAATAATAAGGAATATAGGTAGCTATATAGTGTGCTAGGAGTATTTTCTTATTAAAAAAGATGGAGGTGCTGATCACTTTAACTGTAATTTTTTTCTAATAAAACCAAGTATATTTTTAAATGTATGTATTTATTGAGTACCTACTATGTGCAGGCACTGGTCTAGACTCTGGGGATAAAACAGTGGGGAAAATAATCTCTTCATGGAGTGTACATTTTAGTGGTAGTAAACTGTATACTGCTTAAAAGAGGCAGTATAACCCAAAGGGACAGACTTGAAAGAAATTCGTTGGTAAATAGGAAAAGATACACCTGGAAAATATGTTGCTGTGATGAAGTGAAAAGCTGATGTGGCAATAGTAATGTCAGATAAAATACAGTTTAAGGTGAAGAGTATTAACAAGCAAAATGAGCATCTAGAGCATTATTGAATTAACATAATACCTAACATAGGCTTGAAAGTGAAAACTGACAGGATTAGAAGGAAAACTGATGAGTCCCCAGTTATGTGAGAGATTTTGGCATACCTCTGTTAAGGCAGATAGGTAGGGGCACCTGGGTGTCTCAGTCTGTTAAGCGTCTGCCCTCGGCTCAGGTCATGATCCTAGGGTCCTGGGATTGAGCCCCGCACTGGGCTATCTGCTTAGTGAGAAGTGCTTTTCCTTCTCCTTCTCCCTCTGCCCCTCCTTGTTCTGCTCATTCTCTGTCTCTCTCAAGTAAATAAATAAAATCTTTAAAAAAAAAAACAGGTAAACAGAAAATTAATTGAGAATATAGAAAATTTGAATGACAGAACCAATAAAGTTGATCTAATACATATAGAAGATTTTGTACCCAACAGAGAGTATGTGCTATTTTAAAGTACACAAGGAATACTTATGTAGACAGTGTCTTAAATCAAAAGGAAGTCTCCAAAATTTAAGGTAACCAGAATAATATAGACCACATTCTTTGACCACAATAAACTTGAAACTGACAATAAAAAGCAATTTTTAAAAACTCCTCTGTCTAGAAACTAGAAAATGTACTTATAAATAACTCATAGGTTAAAGAGGAAGCTTGAAAATAGCCAGCAGAGTAAAACGAAGTAGATAGAAGGAAGGGCTATAAAAGATGAGAACAGAAATTAATAAAATGGGGGGAAAGAGTAATACTTTCCTACTTTTATATTGTAATGACCAATGATAGGACTAACAGAATTGGCCAAGAAGAATATAGATATTATTTGAGCCTCTATTCTTATTCATGGCTTATTTTCTACATTAATAATCTTTTTCTTTAGAAGATACCATTGTGAGCTAATAAGAAAAATACAGGACTCAAAACATAAAATAGAAACTTAGTGTCAAATTTTCAGGAGTGTGTATCTTTTCCATATAACAAGAAAATTAACTATAGAACTGTATAAATGAAAATACCAAGTTTGTAGAATTACTTTACTATTGTTTATTTAAAAGATTTATAATGGCCTTTGATAGAAAGTTCTTTTTATATATTTAAGATATTTTTCTTTCCCTTCTTGTAGGTTACTCAAATGAGTCGTCCAGACCTGATTCTCTTTCTGATGAAATACCTGATGGCTCTCATAGTTGGTATTCCCTCCATTTTTTGGGTTGGAAGCAAAAAGACATGCTTTGAATGGGCCAGTTTTTTTCATGGTCATAGGAAAAAAGAGTAAGTTGAAATTATCACAATGTTCATAAACCTCACATTCACATAAAATTTTTGTATTGCTTATGTGAAAACACTTTGGATTTGGAGGATGTGTTTCAACATGATTGTAACCTCGGCTGCTACCAGTTGTGATTAGCACAGTAGCATGTATTAATTAAAAGCTAAAAGTTGATTCTGAGAAGATAGCCAAGTAGAACCAGGCTTAAGGTCTATACCTTACTAGTTGAGAATATTTGAGGGAAAGCTGATCTTATTTTTAAAAGTTTAAATTATAATTTTCTTAAAATTAAAAACAAATTAATGCTTATATTATTACTTGATCTTCTTGATATTCCTGTGAAGGCTGTTATATATTATTTCTGTGTTAACAGATGAGAAAACTGAGCACAGAGAGATTAAATGCTTTGGCCAAAATCACACAAGTATTAGGTTAGACTTCCCTTTCCAATTGCCCATTGTTCTTCCAAGTATACCAGAAATTATATAAAGAGATAACATGTTATTCCATTATGATAAAGTACACATTAAAGCCAAAATAGAAAAATGATATTAAATGCATTATAAAATGATTAAAGAAATTATTGTAATTCATAGTTGGCCACACTGCATATTAGAGTGTCATGGTAAAATACAAGACTTGCCAAAGCAATCTCTTGAGGGCATATTTATGGAATCTTTAATCATAAAGCGAACAAAAACAAGACCCTGCAGTATTCATAAAGGAACAAATGATTTCAAAATTTTTACTCAGTTTAAATCTTATGTAGACACTATACCTGAATTCCCTCAAATTCTAAGTTAGTGGCGTCTATATGCTTATGATTTTACTTAAACTAAGGTCCATGGAAAATGGGTTTTGGAAGATAGCCTATAAAACTCTTAAGGTATTTAAAATCTTGTGCCTTATATAGGTTAATGTACTTTTCCCATACAACTTAAAATGCCTCATTAACAAAACCTGTATTTTCTAAATTACCAGTAATTAACCATTTCTGTTACACAGATTAGACTGAGACAAAATAATCCCAATTTTAAAATATATATTTCTTACTACTGTATCTAAGTCTGCTACTAGGGGTATCAGATGATGCATTTCTCCTTTAAGTAAAGGTTTCATTGAGCACAGAAGAAAAGAAGGGGATAAGAGTTGTTCAGCAACAACAAAAATGTATTTCCTGGGCATTCATTTTTTAAGAAAGTCTTTATAGAATACTTACTATGTGCCATGAACTAATGTTGTGATACCAGGGATGCAGTAGCAAACAAATGGGCCAAGTCCCTGCTTTCATGGAATATCCGTCCTTGTGGGATTTACTGTGATTTATCTGTGTATTCTTTGAAATTTTTACATATATTTTAATCACAGTAAAAGATAATACTGAGGAAAGGGCTTGTATTAAACATCCTGGTCATCTCTGGACCATACACAAACAATTCTATAATAGTGTTATATTAGAAATTCTAGATAGAACTAAACCCAAGCTACTCTTATAGGGCATCATCCTAGTTATTTGGAGGATCCTGATTGGGCCAGAATCCTTTTGAAACTGGTTAGAACTCCCAAGACCCTTCTATTTGGTTTTCTGTGATCATGCATCCCTACCTAACAAAGTCATTGTGATCCGACAAGCCAGGACTGCTCTGGGCTGGAGTGGGAGCTCCTTATTCTAGAGCTCAAGAGTGTGAGCATCCCATAGCTATTTCTAGCATTTGTCTGCTTTAGCCTTTGAAAAATAACTATAAAATAATTGTAGTAACGGTTACCAATTAATTGAGCACATTTAATACTCCAAGCATTGTTCTGAGCATTTTATATATATTAAACCATTTAATCCTTCAAACAGCCTTGTAAGAGAGATCATCATTTTACAGATAAGGAAACTGAGGCATGGAATCAGGGTTTCATAGTGATTGCTAGAATTGAGATTCAGACCCAAGCAGTCTGACTCTAGACTCTCATCTTTGCTTATTATGTACTGTGCTACAAAGAGACTAGTTTCTAAAATCATGCTAATCAAATTAGTGTTTTCCCCCTAAGTGAAGCCACATTTAAGATTGTGCTTATACTAGTAATTCTGACACTGATTGAAATATTTTTAGAAATCTTCTTTTGGAATTATCTAAATCATATCACTTAATTTCTGTTTTCTTATCTGTAAAGTGAGGGGACAAACCTTTACCATTTGAAGGTGGATTAAATTTTTGGCATGACCAGAAGTCAGTTTGAACCAAGTTTTAAAAATAAGTTCAGAAAATAAAGTCAGCAATCAAGGCTGACTTGGGATGTATGAATCTATGATTAGGGCCAATGATGACAGAGAAACATACTGTTTGGGTTTTTGTTTTTTTTTTTTTAACTGTTTTGACTTGTTCATTCCTCTATCCAGTTTTTGACACTTTGAGGAGATATATATGTACACACACACATATACATACACATATGTTATATATACATATATATATAATATTATAAACATTATATTTTGTCATTACATTTGGCTTTTAAGCCATTTTTTAAGAGTGAGCGCAAGAGTGGGGGGGAGGGACAGAGGGAGAGGAAGAGAGAGAATCTCAAGCAGGCTCCACATCCAGTGTAGGTAGAGCCCAATGTGGGGCTGGATTTCACAGCTCTGAGATCACGAGTCAAAATCAAGAGTCGAACACTTAACCGACCGAGCCACCCTGGTGCTTCTAAGCCATTTAAACTTAAGTTTGATCCCTGACTCTTGGTTTTGTTGTGTGACTTTGGAAAGTTCTTTAATCCTTTAGAACCTCAGTTTTTTCATCTATGAAACAGAGATCACAGTATTTATTCTTAATAGATATCTGTTCACAATAGATACATAATATCCTCTTAGAGATACTCTCTTAGGACATTGATCTCCATAATAAAAACATTATTAAGGGGGCGCCTGGGTGGCTCAGTCGTTAAGCATCTGCCTTCAGCTCAGGTCATGATCCCAGGGTCCTGGGATCGAGCCCCGCATCGGGCTCCCTGCTCCGCAGAAAGCCTGCTTCTCCCTCTCCCACTCCCCCTGCTTGTGTTCCCGCTCTCGCTGTGTTCTCTCTGTCAAATAAATAAATAAAATCTTAAAAAAAAAAAAAAACATTATTAAGAAGGATCAAAGGAGAGTTTATGTAAAATACCCGGTACAATGCGGGTACTCAACAAGTATTAGCCTTCCTTTAGCCCTTCTACCTCACCACTAAAAATAGTAGCAGTAACAACAATCCTTTTGTAATCTGAAAATTTAGAATATATGCACTTTCTCAGTGTATAATCCAATCTATATATGTTGGAGCTTTATTTTTTCATGAAATTATTTATCTGATTTTAACTTTAACCTCTGATTCTCATAGTCATTTATATAAACTGAGACTCTGATCTTTGTAACTATTTAACTGGCTCTTTTATCAATTTAATTACTGCTTTGTTCATTATCATAAACATCTATCTGCTTTTAACCTTTTCATAGTTAAAAACTTTTGTTCTTGACGATAATTCATCTCCTTAAGTTTTTTTCCTTAAGCCTTTAAGATGTCTGGTAATTAATTTTATGTTAGCTTAAATTAATTTTTAATACATTTTGTTCTAATTATGACCACTCATGTTTATTCTAGCACTGAACAACTGTTTCACCATTAAACCAAATTGTAGCCTTTAAACAACTGTTCTTACAAGTTGAAAAATATATCTGTTGGGGCACCTGGGTAGCTCAGTCAGTTGGGTGTCCGACTCTTGATTTCAACTTCAGTCATGATCTCAGGGTCGTGGGATGGAGCCCCGCATTGGGCTCCACACTCACTGGGAGTCTGCTTGAGATTCTCTCTCTCTGTCTCTGCCCCTCCCTCTGAATGTGTGTGTGTGCACGTGCGCTATCTCTAAAATAAATAAATCTTTAAAATATATATATATATACACATATATATATCTGTGCTATAGTGAGGCCTCCAATACATCCATAAACCATGCAAGAAAATATTTCTCAACTGTAATATCTTTGTAATATTTCAGTGTACTTGAGAATCATAAATTTCTTTAAATGAAAGGGACTTTTTAGAAATGATGAAATTGTATAGCCTCATCTTATAGATGAGGAAAATGAAGGAAAGGGGATAATGACTTGCTTAAGATCATGTATTTATTCAACTAAAATCCAGACTTCCTTATTCTAATACAGGCTTCTTCCCGTCATACCACTTTAGAGTACAGTTTGACACGATCTTTGTTAAATTCTTTCCTCTGTCAACAGTGTTACCTTATATCTCTCCTAAAGACATTATTTGGAGAGCAATTAATTTCAAGAATAATGTCAGTGTGTCACATTTATTGGTCTATAGGGATGTTAGTCTGTATCTTAAACTTAGTATTTGTTTTCTAGGATAGTGAATGAGAGCCGACAGGTACTACAGGAACCTGATTTTGCTCAGTCTCTTCTGAGGGATCCAAATACTCCTATTATAAGAAAATCAAGAGGAACTTCCACTCAAGGAACATCCACACATGCTTCTTCAACTCAGCTTGCTATGGTGGATGATCAGAGAAGCAAAGCAGGGAGTGTCCACAGCAAAGTAAGCAGCTACCATGGCAGTCTCCACAGATCCCGTGATGGCAGGTGAGTTTCACTGGTAGCTTAGCTTATTTCATGTGTTGAATTAGAGTCACACAGCTTAAGAAGGAAGAGTAGCCAATTCTGAAATAGAAGTTGGACATTATTTGTATTTAAAAAAGTGTTTTTAATTGAAGTATAATTAACATACAGTGTTATATTACTTTCAGATATTCAATATAATTATTCAACAATTCTATACATTACTCAGTGCTCATCATAAAAAGTATACTAATCTCCTTTATCTGTTTCACCCATTCCCTCACCCACCTCCGCTCTGACAACCACCAGTTTGTTCTCTGTATTTAGGAGTCTTTTCTCTGTTTGTTTGTCTCTCTTTTTTCTTTGTTTGTTCATTTATTTTGCTGCTTAAATTCTACATGTGAATGAAATCATATGGTATTTGTCTTTTTCTGTCTGATTTATTTCATTTAGCATTTTACCTTCTAGGTTTATCCATATTGTCACCAATGGCAAAATCTCATTCTTTTTATGGCTGAGTAATTTTCTATTTTTATATATACCCCCATCTTCTTTATCCATTCATGTATGGATGGACACTTGGGTTGCTTCCGTATCTTAACTATTGTAAGTAATGCTGCAGTAAACATAGGCGTGCATATATCTTTTCAAACTAGTATTTTTGTTTTCTGTGAGTAAATACCCAGTAGAGGAATTACTGGACCGTATGGTAATTCTGTTTTTAATTTTTTGAGGAACCTCCATACTGTTTTCCATAGAGGCTACACCTGTTTGCATTCCTACCAATAATGCACTAGGGTTCCTTTTTCTCCACATCTTCACCAACATGTGTTATTTCTTGTCTGTTTTATTTTAACCATTCTGACACGTATATAGTGATACCTCATTGTGGTGTTGATTTGTACTTCCCTGATGATTAGTGATATTGAGCATCTATTCATGTGTCTGTTGGCTATCTGTATATCTTCTTTGGAAAAATGTCTAATCAGTTGCTCTGCTCATCTTTTAATTGGATTATTTGTTTTTCTAGTGTTAAACTGTGTAAGTTCTTTCTATATTTTGGATATTAACCCCTTATTGAATATATCATTAGCAAATATCTTCTCCCATTCAGTAGGTTGCCTTGTTTGTTGACAGTTTCCTTCACTGTGCAAAAGCCTTTTATTTTAGTGTAATCTCAGTAGTTTAATTTTGCTTTTGTTTCCCTTGCCTGAGGAGACATATCTAAAAAAATGTTTCGGGCGCCTGGGTGGCTCAGTTGGTTAAGTGACTGCCTTCGGCTCAGGTCATGATCCTGGAGTCCCTGGATCGAGTCCCGCATCGGGCTCCCTGCTCG